AATATAATAAAATTAATACTCTATATATTCCTTGCCAAAATCCATTTTAATTTCTCTCTGAATTTTTTTAGCCCACATTATTTGTAAATTTCAAACATTTTCTCTGTGAATAATCGCATAATTCTATAATCTCTACAAATGACATAAGTGCTAAATTGCTGTTTATTTGACTTCTTTTGTTTTGTGTTGTTAGAGCACAACTGAGAACAGAGAAAGTGCATTTAAGCCTATTAATAAAAAGCAAGAAAATGTCAACGGAATGTTAGCAAGCGCATTAAAAAGGAGAGAAGGAAAGAAAGAGAGAGAGAGAGAGAGAGAGAGAGATGACAATAGGAAAGCAAGAACGTTGCGTCCAGCGAAACCAAAAAGCTAAAATGAAAATGGAAAATAATTAGCCCTGTTGACAATGCAAACAAGTTAGTTAGCCAAACAAGCATAACATTTTGCATATACGCTTGACAAATATCCTGTAATCAGCTCATTAGTTGCTAAGGAAACTGTTATCAAATATGTGAACTTTAAAGACAGAAACATATTTATTACATATACATAAATATTTTCCCAATATTTATTTTGATAAATACTTTATTAATATTTTTTTAAATTTTATTGAAACAAAAACACTTTTAACAGCAATTTACAGGGTATACGAATTTCGCAGCATTGCTTGTTTTAATTGCATTTTCCTTGAATATTTTGCTGTAATCCTTATGACATTTTTGTATTACTCGCTGCTTAGTGCCTGACTGCTTGACCTTGCCAACGAGTTGTAAGAGCTGTGAAAGAACTATATATATAAAATAAAAAACTAAGAAAGGGGGAAAAAATACTGAAAAATACCAAACGAGAACAAAAGTCAAATGCGATAAGCCATTCGTAATTTATATGGCATGCAACTGCGCAACCGTGCGACTAATTAAAGCCAAGTAGTTTTTTTTTTTTTTATTTATTTTTCTTTTGATTTATTATTTATTATTTATGATTGCTGTACGAAAATACTTTGCTGGCTGAGCCTGTCGCTGGGCGCTGTGGGCATTGTTAATCATCTTCTGCATTGCATGCAAGTGCGAGGAGCGTGGCCCCGGGGGAAAAGTGTGGTGAAAAGCCAAAGGCGTAGAGGAAAATGTTGAAAAGCATAAGAAAAGCCACATTTCTTATCGAGTCTCCTCTGACTGCGCTGGGGCCGATTGCGCTTGGCTGTGGCCGCCTGTCGAGCCCTGAAGGTGCGATAAAATAAAAACATTAAGCCCAAAAAAAAAAAAAAACAGCAGCAGAGGAAATTGGATAGAAGAAATGAAAGAGGGAAAATGTAACGGGCAAGTCGACTTGGGCATACGCTTTTTAAATGAATATCAAAAAGGATCTGCAAAGGACAATACGGTATAGTAAAGTTCACTTAAAAGTGCTGTAGAGCTTACTAAGCAGTGTTGTAAAGCGCTGTTAGCTACAGCTTGAAGTGATTTTGTGAAATGGTAGAGTTTTTACCTAATTGAAAATCAGTTATTTTAAATAAAATTCTATGTTGAGGTGTTGCAAAATGAAGTAGAGTACAGTGTTGTAAAGCACGCTAAGAAGATTCATATGATCATTAAGAAGATTCATATGACTACATTTAATAGGCAAATTTTTATCAATTTAGTTACTACTTTATGTTTCTGCTCAGGTGAAATTTGTTCATAAACTAGTGTTGTGTAATGCTCTTAAATAAAGCTAAATTCTGTATGTTGTTTTTGAATACATTTCCTATTCTATTCCTTTCTATGTTCCATTAGTAGGTAGAAGCTAATATAAATCTAATCCTAAAATTTTATACAAACTAATCCTCAATTGATCTCAACTTTATGTTTTATCTTAAGCCAAAAGCTTTTTTCTTGAATTATATATATATATATAGTCTAAGAGTAACTTAGTCTGAGTTCCTTGCAAAACTTGAGAAAAATCCTGTTGGCTTAATAACAACTTAAGTTTACTTTATACAACTGTAAATAATCAAGAGCTTAGCACAGCAAGTTTCTGAAAGCTCATGAATAAGCTTCTCCATGTTATTTGAAGGTCTTCCCTTTCGCTTGTCAGTTGTAAGTTGCTTATTTATATATGAGAGTATAGAAAACATATTAGAGTATACGAAGACGCATTTAGGTAACACACACACACATACACATGCATACAGCTAGTGTGGCTAGGCAGGTAGACAGCTGGGCTGGTGGGCAGGTGGGCGGTGTACATTTACAGTTGAACATGCAACGAAATGAGCGCCTGACATGACATGCCAACGGTTTTGACATGAAATGTGCAAAGCTCTCAGGAGAATGCGAGTGTGCAAGTGTGTGCAGGTGTGAGTGTGAAGTGTGCATGTGTGTGTGTGTGTGTGTGTGTGTTTTGTGTGATGTGTGTAAATTTGCATGATGAAAAAATAAAACTGTTGTGAGTGAGTGAGTGACATAGCCACGAAAACCCTACCGAGCTGTACTTGAGCTTGTATAAAGCTCGCTAATTACTGGGACGGGGCATAGTAATTATTATTATACACGGTATTTTACCACTACATATGTACATATGTTATACATCTATATATGAATATGGGAAAAGTAGTGTTATTTCGTTAACAGTCGACACTTTTTGAATTTATAATAAGCCTAAAAGCCAAATAATTATGAGAACTCAACAACAGGGCGAAACAGTTGTGGGCATTTAAATATACCCATATAATAGCTGGGCGTTTCTACGAATAGGTTTACCATTAACTAAATATACAAGAATGGATATACGGGTTTTTGTATAATCAATAAGAGGAAATTTTAGAGCTAGATAATCGTAAAGAGCTTAAAAGCAAATTTAAATGAGAGCTGAACGAAGGCCTGATTGTGTCTGAGGAAAGACCTTATAATGTTAACTATTCGATAGATACTACTATTTAAATATACTACTATAATGATTTAAGTACTATTCCTTACACAACTCCATTACTTTATTATACCCTATAAGTGCGATTACTACTTAAGTTACACCCTACTACTATTTTAGTACTATTACTTCTACTACATTACTACTTTATAGTTTGTAATTGGGATCAATACTACTATAATACCATACTACTATTTTAAAGAGTACTCCATACTACTTTATATCAAATAGTATACTACAATTTGAAAATATTACGGAATTCTACTAATTCCTGCTACTACTCTACTACTTTATAGCTTCTCAGTGTGATAACTACTACTATAATACCATTCTACTATTTTAAAGAGTACTCCATACTACATTATATCAAAGAGTATACTACAATTTGAAAATATTACGGAATTCTACTAAATCCTGCTACTACTCTACTACTTTATAGCTTCTCAGTGTGATTACTACTACTATAATACCATACTACTATTTTAAAGAGTACTCCATACTACTTTATATCAAATAGTATACTACAATTTGAAAATATTACGGAATGTTACTAAATCCTGCTACTACTCTACTACTTTATAGCTTCTCAGTGTGATTACTACTACTATAATACCATACTACTATTTTAAAGAGTACTCCATACTACTTTATATCAAATAGTATACTACAATTTGAAAATATTACGGAATGTTACTAAATCCTGCTACTACTCTACTACTTTATAGCTTCTCAGTGTGATTACTACTACTATAATACTATACCACTATTTTAAAGAGTACTGTACTTACTACTATTATTACGACTACTCCACTCTATCTTATGTCACATAACATATACTACTATTTGAAAATACTACGGAGCACTACTAATATACTACTCAAACTACTTAACATATTTCACCTACCTAACCTCATGTTTATGTAGGTCGCAATTTCTTAAGTCCATACCAAATCGTTAGCCATTTATATAACCATATATTTACGCATTTCGGTAATAATTTTGGTCTATTTAACTTCACTTCTATTTGCCCAATCTCAGCTATTGACATTTTCGCTTTTACTGTCTCAAGATTTGGCAAACAATTTAGTTCGAATCGCTTTCGGTTGGCAAATGTTTACAGTCGCAGCACTCGAGCACAGATTTGCCGATTCGGGTATAAAATGTGTGAGAGTAGTTGGTGTATGAATCAGTCATTCGATTCAATTAGCACAAGATGCAGACACTGAATCGACTAATTGTCTACTGCTGTGTGCTGCTCCATCTGTTTGGGGGAATTCGAGCTGGACTTTTTCTCAGCCGCAACGGGTATATCTACTGCAAATGGTCGAGTCGGGGATTATGTGACAAATTCGGGCCTAGATGTGTGCAGTACATGGATGGCACGATGAACTATTGCAAGCATTACAAAAACGAATGCCAATTTCTGATTGACCAGTGTCTGTCTAGAACAGGTAAATTGAGGACTATATATACCTTATATACTATATGTATGGGATAACTTTTTGCTTTTTTTAGAGTTTGGTCGCCAGGGTATGCCTGTGCCTTTTTCTCCAGGCTGCAGGAATATTGGTATCAACCAAATGGGCATGTGTGGAACATAACTTAATATTAAAAAAAAAAAAAAATTATTTTCATTGATCTTTGCTTTAAGTAAG